TTAGGGAAAAGGAATTGTGGTTATTAGGCATACTTTTAAAGTCCCCTTATTATTCATTGATCTCCTAGCCCTAACCCTAAAACCCTAATCCCAAAAACTAACCATAATCAAAACCTTAAACTTAAATCCTAACCGAAACCTTAAACTCAAACCATAATAGCCAAACCATAAACCACAAAACCTTAAACTCTAACCTTAATCCTAGTTATCCATAACCCTAACCAAACCCTAAACTTGTCCTAAACCCCAAAATCCCAAACAAACATTTTCCAAACCTTAAATTTCAACCCAAACCCTAGTCCAAATCACATTCCCATGCATTTGCATTTAACTTGTTTAATAATTTGTTACATGCATTATCATTCTTAATCACCATTTATATGTCATTTTTAATTGCATTCATGCATTTATATTTGGCATTTACATTATTTAAATTGTTGCATTCATGTGAGTTTTTTTTTTTTTCTAAAAATAAGGGTTACAAAAGAAAAAAACAAAGATGTTTTGGAAATAAAATGAGTAATAATCTTAAGTAAAATTAATTCTTGAGATTTTAACTAGTTATTGGAAGGATTCCCAGTAATTATCTTTTATAAATAATATTATCTTTGTTTTAAATAATTATTATGAAAATCCTAAAATGGAGAAATGTTTTCAAAACTCTACCTAGATATTTGGGAGTCTAGAAAATATTCTACAATCAATGGTTCACTTTAATCCAAAATAAAATAATTTGTGTTTTTTAGAAAAAAAAGAAGATATTGTGGGAATAAATGAAATTCAAGGATTTATCTTTACGTACTAATCTAGGACCTTTTTTATCACAACCAAAGGATAACATACAATTAATTGATACCAATTTTAAAATGAATACTATGGAGGGTGCAACTTATTTTCCATGTTTAATCATACTCCTAAAGCCAACTTTGCTTTCAAAGATCAAATTGTCTTTTTTATAAATCTTAACTAATTTATGGTTTTATTAAAAATATAAACTTTTCAAATGAGCAATTACACCTAATAAAAAATATTGATAACGACTCTTTGAGTTTTGAGATTTTTAAATTATTCGACTAAACTATTTGGTTCATAGATCGACAAGTTGTTTATAGCTAGAAATTCACTTTTATACGGGCATTTGGTTCAATGGAAAATAATTTTCCCTTCGAAATCTTGGTTTTGTAATTTGATTTCTTAGTTTGGTTTATGACAATGTGATTATTGAAGTTTTTTAAGATTTTCAACAATGTCAAGAAGTGGGAAAAATGAAGGAATAAAAAAACTCTCATTTCTATGAGGTTTTTTAAGATTTTGAAATAAAAGTAACATTATTTGTCTTAGAAACGTAGTAATTTTTTATAAAATATTATGAAAATATTTTTTCTTAATATATTTTAAACAAAGATAACATTTTTAACACAATGCTATTGATATCCTTAAAAAAGCTATGATTAAAAACATGTTCTTTGTTTAAAAAATTAAAAAAATTATTTTTCATAATTCAATAAAAACAACATTTGTAAGATAAATAACATGATCTTTATTAAAATTTTTAAAAAAATTATTTTTCAGAATTTAACAAATATGATATTTTTAAAATAAAAATATAATTTTTATTAAAAAAGAGATATTTCTAAGATAAAAACACAGTTTTTATTGCAAATATGAAAAAATATTTTTTAGAATTCACCAAATATGATGTTTTTAGGATAGAAAGCACAGTCTATTGAAAATATGACAATATATTTTTCAGAATTTAACAAAGACAATGTTTTAAAGATAAAAACATAGTTTTTATTGAAATATGAAAAATATATTTTCAAAATTCAATAAGACGATGTATCTAAGATAAAAATGAAATATTTGTTGAAAAAATAATATTTCTAAGATAAAAACGTAGTTTTTGTTAAAAACATAAAAAAATTATTTTTTAAAAAATAAAGACAATGTTTCTAATATAAACATATAGTATTGTTGACAAGATGAATTTTCTAAGATAAAAAATACATTTTTTGTTGAAAATATGAAAAATATAAAATATTTTTACTTAATGTTGTTACATATAAAATCTAAAATACATTTACTTAACATTATTATACTTGAAATTTTATTTCACTTGTCTTCTATAAATAAGGACAATCAACATTAGAATAATAATTAAAATTGTAAGATTAAATTTTGTTAAAAATATAAAAAATTATTTTTCAAAATTATTTCATTTCAATAAAAACAACGTGTTATTCACATGTCATGGGTTATTCACGTATCATGTGTTATTCACATGTTATTATTATGATGCCACATGTTATTCACATATGATTAAAAAAGTAATATAATAAAAGATTTTATTAGGTAATTTTACATTCCTATTAATCAAATATAAAAATCTTACATTCCTTAACACTATATTTAGATTAAGGGGAGGGGAAGGGAAGGAAAGAAAAATAAAATAAGGTAATGAAAACAGAAAAACTCTTCTTTTATTTAGATAAACTTTTAATTTAAAGAAAAGAAAAGATATGGAAAACCTAATAACCTTACATTCATACTCATCATTCATCCACAATCTAAGTAATAAAGATTATGTTTCTCGTAGTCATTCTCTTATATTTCTTATTGGATGATTCCATTAAGGTGGTTTTTTTTGTCTTCCATACGTGCATTAGGATTAGTTGACTTGGATCTTATCTAGCTTTTTGATTATTTGTTATGACTAAGACAAGGTTCTTTTCTTTTCCCCTCTATTTCATGGGTCTATGTGAGCCTCATGTCGGTGTCTTCCTAAGTACTAGTTTTATTTCTAATTAAATTTCTTAGCTTAGAAAAAAATTTTAATTGTTTCCCAATTAGATGATTATTATTCTTGTTTTTGTTTTTATGCATTTTTTAACAAGATTCATTCCATCCTACTTAGATTAAGAGTCCATTTGGATAGAGGTTGAGACTAGATCCATTGATACTGAAAATAGTGATGAATGCAAGATTAATTATTATAGTGATGAGATTAAAATTATTAGTGAAAATATGTGTTTTGATATAAATACAGAGGTAATCATGAGATGAATTACAATAAAAATAGAAATAACCATTAAGCCTATGTTTGGATTGAAGTTAGTAAAGGAAATGATAGGAAAGGAAAAGAAAGGTTTTTAAAAGAAAAAAATGACATGTCATTCTTTTATTTGGATAGTTAAAATGAGTAAAGGAAAGGAAAAGAAACAATTGATTATAACCTTTGTTTGGTTAAGTTGTGAAAATGAAAGGAAAAAAGATATTATATTATATTATATTATATTGCTCCAATTATAACTTTTTAAAATAAAATATTTTTCTATCATATGAATAATTTTGATATTAGCTATTTTCAAAAATTTTGAAAATTAATAAAAATAATTTCAATTAAAGAGAATATTATTAATAATTAATTCATAAAAAAATATATTTAGAATTATTTTTATACTACAATTTTTTAAAAATTAATCTATAAATGAAAAAATTAAAAACTTAAAAATTTATTATTAAGATAAAACTAACCATAAATTTGTGTAAGAATTAGCATTTTCTTATCATTGCACATGTTTTGTCATATTCTTTTATTTTTATCATTTAGAATTTTTAAAGTCCTAACACAATGAAAAAAAAAAAAGACCTAAACATAAACTAAAAATACATAAAATTCGAAATTATTGACAAAAAAATAATTGAGGAATGAGTTGTAAAAGATTTTAAAATAACATCAATGGTTAAATTTGAATATTATAATAGTATTCTTTAAAAATAATAAAATACAATAAAGATAAAAAAGTCATTTTAAATTTAAAAATTCTTAATCTTTATCGTTTTTTTTTTTTTTTGTTAACCCCAATTTAGGGTTGTTAAAAATTGGAGCTTTTAGGGGAAAGGAAGAGATGCGCAATTTTTTTTTTTTCATTTCCTTTATTAAAATATAAATGATAAATCAAATAAAAAAATATTTTTTATTTCTCATACTTTTTTTAACTTTTTCCTTCCTTTCCTTTACCTTCCTTCAATTCAAACATAATGTAAGTATTTAATTATATGTAATAAAAATTTTAAATTATAAAATACTAATATTTTTATTTTTTAATATAATAGTAAATTTTATTATTTTATGAATTTATTATATAATGACATTTATTTTTCATATTAAGTTCTTAAAAAAATTATTTAATAATTTTTTAAATTATTAAAAAGAAACAAGAAGAAAGTTGACTGTTCTGTAATGGGCAATAATCGGCTGCGCTAAGGATAAACATGAAAAAAAATAAAAAATAAAAATAAAACTCAGTTGGCCACTAGAAGATTCCATCTCCGGTTGCCAACCTAAAGCTGCGAGCCGATTAAATGCCCAATCGTATCGCGTCTAAGAAAAGTCAAATGGTAGATCAATGTGATAATGGCCAAAAAGTAGCTCCAACCGAGCCGCGCCGACCTTCCGACGGCTTCCAAATGAGGCCTATGATTTTTCTTCTAGGATCACGCTATACTTTGTGTTTATTGCATGAGAAAAAAGTAAAATCTCCCATTAAAACTATGAATGTTTAGATCGAACGCATTATAATTAGGATGCTAATTAAGAGAATTGAGTTACTTAATTATATAATATAATCCCTTAATAAGTTTGCTTATAATATATTCACACCGACAGTTGCTATATTATAATAAAATAATTGGAAGTTTCCTTATATTATATCACATACACATTTGTTACATATATAGATATATATATATATAAATCTCATTTCCCATATCCTAATGGAGTGTATTTAAAAAATTAATAAAACATGTACTAATATTGTAACAGGTACTATAAAATTTAAAAACTTCTATGGCAATGAATTAAAATTAACTCACGTGTACAATAAAATAATACCATAAGCCATAAGTCATAGCCACAAGCACATGCAGTCCATTTGCAGTATTAAGCTTTGGAATTACAAATAGAATACAATACATTGCCAATTCATTACAAACACTTACTGAAATTGAGTTCCGTAATAATTAAACAATTACAAAATAACACAATAGACGCATGCACCTACTGAAATTGAGTTCTCTAATAATTAATTAAGCGAAGTAGTTCCTTAAGAGGCTCTGAAACTTGTCCATTTCCTTGCTTGGTAAAGACACCAAGATGTTGACTCCATTGTTTTTATCAATATCAGGGAATAGTAAGATAATATCCTTCCGGTGGAACACCACAGGGCAACTATACCTAGGCTTCCCCCATGGATAATCCACCTCATCAAACCCTAGTTTCCACCAGGATGACAACAGGAACTCCCCATCTGGGAACCCTTGGTATATCTCTCCCCAGTCTATTGCTGACCTTGCATACTCGTCCGTCATTCGTTTTGCTCCCTCCGATACCAGCTCCACCAATCTTGAAAATTCCATTTCTTCTATCTCCTTGCACTTGGCCATTGCATATGCTGTTAACACCGCGTTGCCGGCGTATGATCTTGGCAATGGAGGAACCAGCCTAGCCCTTATGTCAACCGCGTAAAGCAATTTAGAAACCCTATCAAGGTTGCTCCCTTGGATGGTTTCTTTGTCCCATGATAAGGCTTTGCATCGCCATACAAACGCCGTCACCACGTTGAAACCGGTAATGCGTGCTTCGTTTCGTTTTCCGCCAGACGCCTTGGCCTTCTCCTTGAGTTGTCCAATGTTGTGGGAGGTCAGCCGAAAAACCTTGAAGTCTAGGGCTTCAGATGTGACATCAAAGACGGGAGGGTTCGAGTCCTTGAATTTGGCCAGCTCAAGGTGAGGGAAGCTGGCACATGGCGGGGATCGAGAGGCTAGAAGTTGGCGGTCATTGCAGGGGATGACAGCCAGTGGTTTGTCAGCTGCCAGGGCACCCAAGTTGTCTAAGAAGATCTTGAAGCTTAATCCATCAAAAGTCACATGGTTGGTTAATATGCCCATGGCAAAACCACCACATTTAAACCAAGTCACCTACTCAAAAAAACATACAAAAAAGGATACATAATAAAAAGAAGATGGTGATGATCGTAATGGGCCTGTCAGATAATAATTAAATAAATAAACAAAACTATATATTTTTAATCATAATCAAAGTTTGTGAGGCAAAATTTTCTCTAATTTTTACTATTAAACTTACTAGTAAGGATTTGCGATGATCTTGAAGTAATTATGATTACGATATTCTCGCATGAGTGAAGAAGAGTACTATTTATATACCAACAAGAAAGAGGCTAAAGTGATCAGGATAGAGACTAGCTGTGGGACGAAGAAAAAAGAGGCAAAAATGAAATAATATGAAAATATAATACCATTAAAAGAGGTCACAATGTCTTGGGATATGATCACAGTGGTCATTAAAGAAATTCTATATCAATTAAATTTGGGCCGTGTAAATATATCAGGACTTATTTCACTTAATTTCATTTAATTTTATAGTTGAATGTCTATCCTAAAAAATTAATATGGTATCAGAGTAAGTATTATTTCATTCATTTCATTTCAATAATCAATTTGGTTTTTTATATATTTTTTTATAATTATCAAGTTGTTATGCATGGTTATATGCAACGTCCAAACTATACAATAAGTCCGTTTTCCTCAAATGTAACAATGAAGTCCAATTTATCTGTTACCAATCATTTTTAAATTAGATATCATTTTAAAATTTTAACCAAGCAAAGGACACTTTGCCAGTCCTCAAAACCCGACCATTTAATGAATGGTTGCATGCTATATGTGTATTATGGATTGTAAAAGAGACATGAATGTGACATTTTCAAAATGAAAACTATGCAATTAATGCTAGCACACAAAAACAGAAGTGGTATTAATGAGATTCGGTGGGTAGATGAAAAGCAACCACTTTTAATTTCGAAGGAATCCTAAACTTAAAAAACATACGTACGCAGGCGTATGTAGGTTGTCTGCACTCACGTTAGTCACGTATATGCACATACGGACACTTTATGCATATGAAGTGAAAAATCACTCAAACTCTTTTTTTTTTCTTTTTTAATTATGGGCCAAATTTTTATGAATATAGGCTATGGATTCCAACCTTGAAATCATTATAGAAGAGCTTACAAAATATTGTTTCTGGTATTTATATTTCGGGATTTGATCGTTGATTATTAAAATTATGATTTTTTTAGTGAAAAAATTACTTGAGATATAAAAGTTTAATCAAAGAGGTTTTTTAAGCTAGACCGGATTTATTAAGTAATTTACGCATAATTATGCAATTTTAAACTCTCACATGTTTAAAAGTAATTTTGATAATTTAAAATATAATATAATGATACGATATAAAATAATATGAAAATGATATAATTTAAAATTTAAAAAAATTATACATAAATTTTACAAAAATAAAGAAAATGAATTTTATGTTTTTTGTGTTAATATATAATTTTCATATAAAATACAAAATAAACATACGAATTGTTAATATTTTACACAAAATAAATACATAAATTATTTGATCTATTTAAAAATTATTTTTATTTATAATTAAAAAAAATTTACCGAGCCTTTTCTTTTTTTTGGTTATTACCTGGACAATGCAAAGTGGTTGATCATCTTGTTCCAAGTTGTCCATGCTCTTGTAAATCAGTTGCCCAAAAGCTGGATTAGGATAAACTAAGTTTCCAAGACTATCCAGTGCGTAATCACTGGAGGCCACGGCAAAACCTATTCCAGCTGAATTACAGTCAATCTCTAAACGGCCGGTTTCAGGATTCGACCTCAATCTTCCAGCCAGGAAATCGTATGGCGCTAGGATTTTGGATAATGCGCTTTTAAGCTTCTCAGCCACAACTCGAGGAGGAAAATCCTTGTGCGCTGGAAAGAAATGGACGGTCTCTACAGGGAAATTGAGCACTTTGTCTATGTTTGACAAGAACATGGATTTTCTCTCAGTTCGTTGGGACGGAAAAACAAGGGAAACGTTTTGGATAGTGATCTTGAGGTCTTGGAGAAGACTTGGAGGTTCCTCGCAAATGGTAGCCATGCTTAGTTTTTTCTTTTTTTTTTTTCTTTGGGTTATAAAATGTCTGACTAATTCATGACTATGAAATCATGAAGGGCATGGTTATATATATAGCGAGGCATGCAATTATTAGCGTAGGAAACAGAGGCAGAAGCTTAAAATTTTAACCCACACCGATGCCGACAACTGATTGTTATCTTTGTCTCTGTACACCTATGTTTATGTATCTCTATTTTTCTTTTTGTTTTTTTTTTTTACTAATGAAAATAAAATTGGGTTTTTAGATTATATGTGGAAGTCCCAAAGTTTAAAGTTAAAGCTTACAAATTGGAGTTTCAAATTCTAAAATTAGAATGTCCAAATGAAAATCTTTCTTAAAGGTGGGGAAAGACTTATTAGAGTTGAATGAGAAGTTAGAGCATCCAAATGTCAAGTCAAGTTTTAGGCATAGCTTTAGCCCAAGCTCGGTTGGATTAAATTATTTTAATAATAAATAATAATTAATAATTAATTAATTTTAATTTTAATTTTAATTTTAATTCATATATTTAAAATATTAATTTTTTTATTTTAAATTTAATATAAAATTATTGTTTTATTTTTTAATGATAAAATAATTTCTAAATGAGCGGGACATGCTGAGCTGGGACTTGATTTCTTTAATAATCCCAATCCATTGACAATTTTATGAGAAACCGAGCATTGTAGGTGATTCCACGTTTTATTTGACGGTAACACTTCTAGATGATTAATCCTTTATATAATTAGTATTTAAATTAAATAAGGAATAAGTTACACTAATTTAAAATAAATTATCTTATATTTTTATAACTTTATGTACTTTATTAATATTTTACAAATTAACTGTTAAATTTAATAACCTGCTCTTATACTTCATATAGTTAAAGTTTTAAGTGAATCCATATTTTTATTATTTCAGTTGGTAATGATATGTTTTTTAATATATTAAGGGTTAAATTTTTATTATTATTGAACAAAAAAACATTTTAGCTTAATTTAAAAGTTGAAATGCATGCATTTTGTGAATAAATTATAAAAATCAATGATCAGATTAATATAATCGTATAAAAAATTATAAAAAAAATAAATTAAATTAATTTTATATAACAGATATATTTCTTTCTAAATTGTTTACGTAAAAGAGCATATATAAGGATAATATAAATTACCTCCCTGTTTTAACTCATTCCATCAAAATTTTTCTCCCTCAAGATTTGAGCTGACAAAGCAATTGCATTAACGAGTTAAAGTGAATGAAAAAAATTGTATATCAACATAAAAGGCCCAAAGTCGTCAGGAATGATGTAGCTATTAATAAAATATAAAATTCTTAATTTTTAAACTTAAAATTTAAAATTAATAATCTCCAATATTAAATAATACCCCGAAAAATTGTACAGTCTTACAGGTGGTAAATGTACATCGACGGTTGGGTACCATCACTCGTGAGAGTCACCTCTTTCACGAGGATGATAGATGAATTATGCAGTTATTTAAAAGGTCGTTGAGAGTCTGTTGGTGAATTAAAATGAAAGAAAGAGAAAAACAGAGGTTGTTGAGTTAGTTGAACCAGAAAAAGTACGGCAGAGTAAAGGTCTTTATTTGAAGTACGTTAAGATCAATGATTTTTTTAGCTTCCAGTTAGGGATAGTTAATTTCCGTGGCCTGCTCTAGGAATTAGATTATGTACGATCGCCAACCTTTTTGGTAATTTATGCCATCCTTCTCTTGCACAGCATTCAATGTTATTAATACAAAAGTTGACCTCTTTTTCCTTGCAAGTTTTATTTATGTTATAAAATATAGGCATACATAATCATACATTTAATATAATCACGTAAACACTGAAATATATTTGCGTCACCTGATTGATTAATTCACTAGTTTATGTCAATGAAAAGATGAATTTGTGATTTACTACCTACATACGTGGAAAATTTTAAGTCTAATATGGCATGGAGAAATCTATATCTCTATTACAAAAATGTGTTGATTGAAATATTTACAATATATATATATATGCATCCATGATAGGAATTTGGAGTCTTTGTTATATTTTTTAAGTTATTAATGTTAGAATTTTTTAGTAAGTGAATTATTATTAATTAGTGATTTTATAGTTTAATAAAATAAATTGATAAATTTAATTCTACTACAAGATCAGTATGAGAGTCCAAATAATTTAATGAGATCACATAAGTATGGACTTTATACATTTTATTGCATCAGTGTGATTTAATGGTTATATAAACTTTTAACCGGATAAGCTTTTGATGAAAAGGTTTCTAGGGTTTTAATAAAAATTGGCTAAAATCTCATCTTCACTTTTAAATAATGATATTTACCTATTAAGAGCCGCCAATAAGAGAAAAGTGAATAAGAAGATCTAGTTTCTTTAGAAATTGATATTATTTTCATTTTTCAATTATGTTTGCCCAAAAAAATATGCAATATGATTAATTGGTGCTTTAATATTCATATATAGTTCTTCATATTTAAATTTATGTTTACATGTGATACTAAAGCCTAATTATGTAATATTATGATCGAAAATTATGTTTTTAAATTTTAATTTCGTATGAAATTAAGTTTTGGGATGAAATTTTGTGTTTGATGCAATCTTAGCTTTTTTAGTTTCTTTTCTCAAAATTGATTTGGGGTTTTTTCTCTTCTCTACGAGAGGATTGAAATCATGATAAAACGTTTCTTAATTCATCCTATAGAGAAAAAAAATAGATTTTAAAGATTTTGGTTCAAAATTTAAATCAAATTCAAGATTAAATTATAACCTTAATATTTTGTGTTGTAATTCGAATTTGTTCTTAAACATTGTTACTTATGTCTTATGGAGATTAAATAAAGGATTTAATTTCATAAAAATTTGAATTATATGACTAAATTTGAAGAAAGTTGAATTAGGCTTTACATGAGTTTCTTAAACCAAAAATATTGTCCTCAATTCGTAAAGATTCGTGCTTTTCAATGTGTTTTGTTGCATGGTTTTCTATGGATACATTTGTTAATTAAAGTTTGGTGCATTTAATTGCATTAAAACACAAAGTAAAATGATCAAAATTAAATACATAAATCAAGAAACAAAAGCAGGTCTGGCATGGGTTTTGAACTTGAAAATGTTTTGCTTAATTTATCTTAATTTAAGCTGTTTTGATGCAATGTAAAGGATGGGTTTTGTATATTCATGTGTTATTTAAAGTTTAAATGGTTTAATTGCATCAAAAATCGAAGCAAACCATGAAAATTTGAAGAAAGTTTGAAATGAATTAAATATGGATCTAACAGTCAAGTTTATTTTGGTCAATAGATTTTATTTTTATTGTTATTGATGAGTTTTTTCACATGGGTTTGATAAAATAATGGCTTAATTGAGTTTTAGAGACTTCAATTTCATGAAAAACATAAGAAAAAGCATCAAAATTGGGTTTAAAACAAGAAATAGACTTGAACAGGTTAGAAAAGCTCTAGTCATGTTAGGCTCGACCCGACCTAACGTTAAAGAAGGCTAATTTATTGACCAATTTTAACCCACTCTCGGTGGTGGTGCATGGGGGTGTGTAAGAGCTCTTCTAAGCTTCACTTTTTATGCCATTTTTTTTCATTAGACTCCTTATAGTGTGAATAATTTATTTGTTATTTTTCATAATTTTTTTTAAATTTTCATAAATAATTTTAATTAATATTTATGCATATTTATTTGATTATTATATGTTATGCACATGTTTTTAACAAATTATTTCATGATTAAATATTTTGGCATGTTGGGAGTCTATTAAAAGTACATATCTCCCCATAGGTTGTTTAAAGTTTTGTACTCTAAGCTTGAATTTATGTGCATAATTGAATAATTAAGTAAAATTTATTTTACTAATTTGAAAGTAACATGGATTGTTAAGATAAATTGGATTTAAACTCTATACGATTTTGATACCACTAGTATTATATTGGTATTTTTATTTCATAATTAGATAATATTAAATAATATTTATTTGAAATAATTGAAGTTTAAAATTGTTGTCTTGATTTAATTTTCCCTAGATAATTTTAGAGTTATGTATCATCATTAATTTGTGAAATTTATTTGTGATAGATGATACATAAAAGGAAATTATGGATTTAATATTGATTTATTCATGAATTTCAAGGCACTTGGACTTTGGAAGCAAAGTTATTTGTTGATCCAACGAGACACATTTGGTTTAAGTTTCTCAAAAAGAATGATCATATCTAAAATGATCCATCGAGATATGCATTGATTATTCGTGTCTCATATGGAGCGATCGACTCTTTAATGATCCAAAAAGATACATTATGGTCAAATACCTCACAATGAGTAGTCAAAATGCATGCATTTAGCTAAGTGTGCAAAACTATAGTCATGAACAATCTAATTTTCCTAGTGTCAAATATAAAATTAGTTAATGTGGGTGTTTGGCTACCAAAGTGGCTCACTCGTTGAAACTTGCAAGATTTTCTCATGCACAAGAATGTGAATATTTTGAAATTTTCTTATACAATCACCTACCCAAAAAGGGTTATTATGTTTGATAATTTGGAATGGACATAAAGTATTATGGTTAAGGGTATATTGGTCTAGAAAGTCTGTTGGACCAAAGGGATAGGCTTTTCGAAAAGTAGAATATTTTTATGTTGGCTTCATATGAAAAGTGCTCAATCGTATGTCACATTCTTTGCCCAAAAGGGAGTTTGTAATGATGTACTTAAACTTTCAATTTAATTGCACATAACATTATGGGCTAATGCTATTTGTAAGGATTATTGCTCATATGTGGAATGTTGCATTCTTTTATCTTGAATATTATAGTTGATTTTGGTGATAAAGATTATGTAGCTCTAATTAAAAATGATAAAAGGTGATTTAGAGTTTAATTAAGTCATGGGTGTTTTCTTAGACATAATTGTTAAGTTTTGAAAAATTTTATTGATTATTATTTGAATGTTAAGATGTTGCATTTTATGATTAT